GTTTAGCCTATGTGTGCTGATACGCAGGCTCAAGAGCTGCTTTCGCACTGAAGACATACAAAAAACCAGAACTAATAAAATAGAATTGTCATTAGTATTTAATCACCTGTAAAAAATAAACTAGCAATTTCAGTTTACAACTCATTGCACAAGATCAAAGCAGGCCTTCAGTACTAAACACAGGAAAGTGACTCCCACCTACGGGCAGTGAAGAAATTCTCACATCAGCAAAATAAAGAACGGGGACGAGCCATAGAGCATTCAACTCACACTGCACAGCCTTATCCAAAGTGAAGCTCATCACAAGGCTTCTAGGCTCGGGGGCTAGAATTTTCACAAATACCAAATGACATTTTCAAAAAAAACTTTCAAAATATGGGAACAAGTGAACTCCCGGAGAGCTCTACACTTCTCCGCGTAAGACAAGAAGCAGCAGAAGCACTGTTGAGTTAAATTCAAGAACCCGCTCAGCTTTATTAGATCGCTGTGTTTACAAGAACTAGCGGTAGCGGTGCAGCTGCAGGGTGTTGCGTCGCTTCCAGGCAGCGCGGCGCGAGCCACCGATGGTGTGGTGGAATTTGTGGCCCTTGCCCAGACCGCGGCTCTTCCGCCCGGCGGACGTCAGGCCACGCATCTCCCTGTGCTTGTGGACGGGCTTGGTGATCCACTGCGTGTCGGGGTTGCGCCTGATGGCCTTGTGGAAGGGGTCGATCAGGATCACTTCGAAAAACTTGTACGTGGAATCCTCTCCCACCCAGTAGGAGTTCAACACTCTCAGAGCCCCGCAGTGACGGCCGGCACGCTCCTGGAAGAAAAAATCCACATGAAAGGCTATGAGAACACAGGACGCAAGGACACAACTTAGGAGAAGGACACGCATAACATGCAGAAGGAGATGAGCAACTCAAACCTAAAATTCTGTAAGTGTTAGAATTTTCAATTTGCCCCAAGTGAACCTTCCCCCCAAACTATACAACCTCTGGCTGCAAAAACACCAGAAAAAAGTATTGGCCAAAGAAATTTGTATTCAAAAAAATGCTGAGTACCTTAGTGATACAGGTTTTACAGAATGTAATGAGGAAGGCATTTGGTTGACAAAGAGAGGAACTGCTTTGTACACAGAAGCACCCAATGAGTAAATACACAGAGTGAAAAACAACTTCAAGGTGGAGATGAAGACCACAAGGTAGACTTGGGGCCATGGAACAATCTTTTGTGGAAAGTTACGAAAGACTGATCCGAAGTTACAGGGGAGGAAGACAGGAAGACATTTCTGCAGGACCTAAGCACATACTGACAAATATGAACAAATATGAACAGCTGACGTAGCAAGTTCCACTACTCCTATCCTCGGTTGTGGTTGGAAAGAAAACAGCCTTAGAGTTTAGGAAACTAAGCAGAAAATGCAAGTTCTGAAACTCAATCTGCCTCTTCTGTCAAGAACACTCCTTATTTTAATTAGCACTATCAGTGTGTTTAATCCCAGAACTTTATCATTGTGGGAAAGTACGAACCAACAGATTCCAGCCATCTTCTATCCCAATGTGATCCCAACCTATTAGTACCGTCTTCCTCCAAACCTTAGTTGACTGTTTCCTGAATACGAAATTTATTTTCTTCAAGTCCTTGTTTTACTCCAGCACACAGCAGTGACACATACTGAACATTAAAATACCGCCCGCCCTCAACCAGCTTCTATTTGGGGATGACAGCTACAGTCACGGTTTGGCATTTCTAGAATAGTTTTATCCGAAGAATAGAAGACTTCCAGGAGAAAGCAAGCCAGCTTTTGGACTAAAACAGAGGGTCAGTAACCTCTTGCACGAGCTGTCATCACAACCGAGCGTGTGATTAGCCATCAGACATCTGGGAATGGCATATACAAAGAGCACACCGTGAACGCTCTATTTAAAAATACAGTTCTGTGTTTTAACTCATCACCTCTGTTTTAAAATGAATGCTCTGCTTAATGATGGAAAGACAAGGAGCAGTCTTCACTCTTTTTCAATGCCTCTTTTTCAGAGCGCAGCCTCGTGCTGTTCTACATCATGGAGTTTTATCCATAGGTGAGAGCTACAGCCCTTCATCACTACTCTTGCTGTGTCACTGCGAAATTTAATGAAGATTGCCCTGAATGAAAGCTTCCATTTTCAGTATTTTTATTTTGTTTTGATTTTTTAAATTAGACTGTTTCTGGCATGCTGTTTTCATATCCTACGACACAGCTCAGTACACTGCACAGCACTCTTACTACGCAAACAGGTGCTGCAGACTTTAAGAGAGGAACTTGCTCGTACTTTGTTGAAGGACCTTTGCCAAAAGCTGGCAATGCATACATCATGGTAGGGAACATAAAGGCAGGATTTACCAATGACCCAAGCCAGGCACTTTGTTGTATTTGAATTCTGAATCCTCATGCCTAACCCCTGGTTTTACAGCAGTTTATACTAGCAGCACGTCTTTCCCTGCACACACTGTGCCATACTTCAGGAAGAGGAACACACTTCAACAAACCACCTCAGTACTTCCACCACCTGCTACCTGTGAAGTCGGACTAGTTTTTAGCATTTGTCTCAGTACCGCTTTTCAAAACATCCAGGTGCTCTCCTGCTATCAGCATTCAAGATTTCTACCTAACAGAAAACAGTCATTGTTTTTGTCTCTGAGTATTTTCCATTTTTACAGACTAGGCATGACCTTCATAACCCCCGCTTTCTGAGCAGTAACCAGAATACTCACCTCTGCTACGGACTGGAGGCTCCGGGCAAACTTCAGCTGGTTCACACCGTGATGCACGGGTTTGCCGTAGGTTGCACCTTTTGGGACAGGGCGCTTGCGGCCACCACGGCGAACGCGGACACGGTAGATAACATACCCTGAAAGAAACGGTGACTGTCAGTGCAGGCAGTGCAAATTACGGTGAGGCAACTTAATGCCCCATAACTTTCACAGGAAACACTGCAAAAAAGTAGGTCACTGTACCAATAGCTGCCAAAACCTACAACTCTCAGTGACTAGCGTAGGGTGTTTTTGTTATTTCCATTGTAACTGAATAATGGAAGTGATGTATTGTTGTGACTACTTTCTAGTTCCAAACCAGAGTTTAAGGCACCTTTCCACTGTGCGCTTTGATATGAACTAAGAACAGCTGTAGCTGTATGATAACACGCACACAAAAAAAAACCATCCTAAACTCTCCTCATCCCAAGAAAGCAACAAAGCAGTCACCTCAGAACTAGAACGCCACACTGCAACAGCAGCATTGATAAGGCACTGAAGCACAAGCCATCCATAAACCCTGTGGAAACCTGACCACTGAAAAAGGAGGAAAGGAAACCTCACAAACATAACAGAAGCTTAGATTCTTTACTTTTTTATTATCATGGTGAACAAGCATCCTGCTTTGAAGATCTGCTCAAGTTACAGATGGATGCCCACTTTCCCTGAGTTTGTTTCACTCCCCAGTAACTTTCCTAATGATGACAGAAACTAATTTAACCTTGGCAAGCCCAGACAGCTATAAGGCAGCTAACTTGTTGAGACTGGTGACAAAATCTGGCCAGAGAAAGGAACCCCCACACCCACAAATCTACCGTGCTAAAAGCACTGGTCAATGTTGCAGCAATAACACAGAGCAAGAGCAAGAACTGAAGTCAAGATCCACTTGATCTTCATCTGCCTAATTGACCACAGGGGGCATGAACTCAGAATTACATGAAATAAGGTTTGGGATGTAGGCACTGCTATTGATTTAATACATTTATAACAGTATTTCATCCAGAAGACCTCAGGCGGTGTTCCAGCTTCTGATTTTGGCATTCTACTATCAGCTAAGGAAGGAAGCAGGCTGACAGGAACACGGTAGCTCCATCTCATTACCTTGCTTGGCCTTATATCCCAGCCTGCGAGCCTTGTCTGGCCTGGTGGGCCGGGGAGCGCGGTGCAGGGCAGAGAGCTGGCGGTACTGCCAGCAGCGCACGCGGAGGAGGAACCGCATCACGTCCGACTGCTTTTTCCTCCATAGCTCCTGGATGTACTTGTAGGCACCCATGGCTGGCTACCTGCTGAGATTGAGAGATCAATGAAAAGAGGGCAATAATTATTATTCTGAATTTGAACATCTTCCCATAAAATGGCGCAGTATGAGGCCGTGCACGTAACACCACTGGCACACAGTATGCTCGGGTGTTGTTTTGTAATTGTTGGTACACTTGGTAACACGCTGGCTCCCATTTACCAGTCTGCAGTAGAACACACAGCAGTTTTGATGAATTTTGTTCCATTTCACGTGTTCTTTAGCACTGAACTGCGCAGTTTAGGAGCTGGCACCTCACGTGCTTGACATGTTACCAACACTGACAGCTACCACCTGAACCAAGCCGTGAATGCCGCTCTTTGACGAGGTGCATGACAGTGAGGGCCCTGGTGTTACTTTATAACGTGGTTTAAGCATCCTTAAACGCTGAGCACCCAAACCCCAGCAGCACGCAGAGATAACCCCAACTCCATCAGATCTCCACTCAACTCACCATCCCAAACCAGAGCTCTCTGCACCTTTTGCTATGCCCCATCCCTCCTCTCCCCACCCCCAGCCTCCATTTGGGGCCCCCTGCGGCCCTCCCCACCCCCGGCGCCCCGCACCCACCGGGCGCCCCGCGGCCTACCCCCACCCCCTCCCTCCCGCAGCCTGGTGGGCCCTCCGCCGGCCTGAGACCCGCATCCCGGCCGCCGGGCAGCCCCGCCGAGCCCCGCGGGCGGCCGGATGGCGGCGGATGGGCCCGGATGGCGGCGGATGGCGGCGGATGGCGGCCCGGGCCGAGCGCAGACGTACCCCGCACCCGATGGCGCCCCACGCCGGAAAGGAAGAGGCCCGCCTCCCACACCCCCCCGCGGCGGCACCGCGCTTCCGGCGGGCGGGCGCGGCGCCTGATGGGTAATGTAGTCCCCGCAGGGCCTCGCTCCGCGGCAGCCAACCCGGCCCCGCCCCCGCCGGTGCCAGCCAATGGGAGCGAGGGGGCGGGGCCCGGCGCGGCGCTACTGGGGGCGGCGGGGGAAGCTGAGCCCAGGTGCGCGCGCGCTAGGGGCGGGGGCGCGCGGGGCCGGGGGCGCGCGGCGCGGGCACGGCGGGGGCCGGGGGCTGGGGGCTGGGCGGGGGGAAGGGGGGGGTGTAAGGGGTTGGGGTAAGGGGCTGGCACGAACACGTCCTGAGGAAGCCGTCCCCCAAAAAGGAGCCCTTTGGGGTTCCTACGTGTGAAAAATAATAAATAATAATAATAATAAAAATGAACGAAATGGTAAATCCTAAGGGGGAGTCCTGCTGCTGCTGTCAGCCCCCACCCCCAGATGCTCGTGTCCCTCCTGACCCCGTGCCCGGCAGTGCAGGGAGCGGGGTGTGGGAGCAGGGGGCCTTTGTCCCAGCTGCATGGTGACCCCTTTTCCCTTTTTTTCCCTTTTTTTCCCTTTTTTTCCCCCTTTTTTTCCCCTTTTTCCCTTCCCCTTTCCCTCCCATTGCAGAGCACCCGGGCTCACACAGTTTTACCTGGTCCCACCAAGGCCCCCCCAGCTGTGGGGTGCCCCGCTCGTCCCCCTGCTCCTGTAGGGCAGCCCCATCCCCACCCAGGCTGGCTGACTCCAGACCCCAAACCCCTCTCCAACCTTCCCCTTCCCATGCCCGTGACCCTAACGCTTTCCTTCCAGCCCCTGTGCCCTGAAACCTTCAGCTCTGTGCGCCTGAGCCGGGCACCGACGGCGGCAGCCTGAAACCCTACAAGTGGCGTGGGAGGAAGCCCAAGTCCTAAAAATACCCATCGCTGGGGAGGGAGCTGCGCCTCGGTGGCTCCCGCTGCCTTTTGGGGCTGTGCTGTGGGGCCCCGTGCTCAGCAGCACCCCTCCGCTGGCCCTGCTGTCCTGGGAGAGATGGGGAAGGGCTACAAGGTGGTGGTGTGCGGCATGGCGTCGGTGGGAAAAACCGCGATTTTGGAGCAGCTCCTCTACGGAAAGCACACCGTGGGTGAGATATTTTTACCACTTTTTTTTTTGGGGGTTGTTTCCTTTTCCAGAGTCTTGCTCTGCGCGGGCCCCGCGGAGCGGTAAGCCAGGGCCGCGAGCTGCGCGGAGGTGACGGAGGAAATGAGCGTGGTTTGGGTTCATCTATGGGGAATTCCTCCCACTCGTAGTCCCTTACCGAGTTTTAAATTGGTTGGGGGAAGAGCCCTTGCCCTGATGTTGCCCGTGCCAAAAAAACAGGAGTGTGCGACAAGAACCAAAGAGAAAAGCAGACGATGCGCTTGCTGCCCATTTACATAAGAGATACCTTGTTCCCCGAAGGATGCTCTCGATGCCTGAATAATAAATAATATCATGTGATTCACACGGATTGTTTAAACTTCTGTCCCACCTTCTCAAAACTTTATTTGGCTTGGTTTTGGCTAATCCTTAATCAGAGAGCTGGAAAGAAAAACAGCTCTGCTTTAGATCCTGTGGTTTGCTCTGGACTTCAAAGGCTGAGCTTCCCAGCTCTCAGATAAATCCTCCTGTGGAAAACAGACCTGGGACAAGGGCACGGGATGTCAGAGCCCCGCTGTGCACAAACGAAGGGGGCCGAGGGCAAAGCTGGCTCGCTTCCCTCTGTTCCTGCCTGGCCTGGATGTTAGGGGGAGGGCAGTGGTGAATTGTTCTGCCAGGGGTGAATCACGGGGGTTTGACAGAGGATGCCTAGCCAAGGGATTAGTAGCTTTTCCTTGGGCCAGTGAATTAAATTAAACGTCGGGGTGAGCCTCCAGGTGAATATCGGGGTTTGGAGCAGGGTGCTTGGCAGGCACTGTGCCTTTAAAATGTGTGGACGGGAGGAATTTGCTGGCAAAGCCTGACACAGAACTGTGCGCTAATGCTGTCGTTTAAGAGGAGGATTTCCTCTAACGTTGCAGCAACATCTGCTTCCAGCACCTTACCAAGGCCCGTGCGCACAGCCCTGCATAGCTCTCGGCGCCGACACTGCAAAACCTGCGGGCTGCGGGCTTTGCCCTCTGCTGCTGCCCTGATTTTCATCATCCCCGGGCCAGGCGGTGCTCTAGGGCTCTCAAGCAGTGCGAGCAAGGCCACGCTGCCTAAATCGTGTTGCCTTTTGTTGCTTCCTGCCCTGTGCTCCGATCAGCAGCCGCAGCAGGGAGGATTTTCAGCCGCCTGCGCTATCAGGTGCTCTGGGGCTGGCTTGCTGCGCCTCCATGCTTCTGGCAGAGCTGCCCCTGGGAGCCATCCTAGTGCAGGGATGGCCCCTCCGCGTTTAAAACACTGTTACTAGGTCTCAACCCAGGTTTCCGAAAGCAGACGAACACCTCCTGGCTGCTGGCCCTTGGGCAGGAGGCGAGAAGGCCCCGCGGGCGCTGAAGGCCCACCCGTTTGGAGCCATGTGGCACGGCGACACGGGCACGAGCTGTACCAAAACCTGTATCAAAAAGCTGCGTCCTGACTCCTGCAGCTCTGGTGCTGCTCCAAGGGCAGGGCTGACACACGTGCCAGCATCCATGGCCTCCTTGCTGTGATTCAAGGGGCGTGCTTGAATTTGGTTGCAGGCTCGGAGCTCAAGGCCTGGCATCGTCTGCTGAGGTGTCCAAGGCACCGATGGCGGGGTCTCCTCCTGGTGCTTGGTCAGGCATGATGAGCCTCCATCGGTGCTGATGTGCCTCCTGCTGACTTTCCTTTAAAAGAGAGCGGTGGCGCGGCTGCCATCAGGGTCAGGATTTGTGTCCTCGGAGGTTTCACGCTGCTATATAAAGCCCTTGGCTCTGAGCCCATGCCCTGGGCTGTGTGCTTGGTGGTGGTGCTGCACACCCAGTGGTACTGCGGGGGTTTTCCTAAAAAAAATCACACCTTCAGCTCTCCCTGGCTTGTCATGGATGAAGTCCCTACATGGTCAGCAGCCAGCACTCTTGCAAAGGCACAAAGATTGCTTGAAGTCAAAGGGAAAAAAATCCTAGGGAGGGAGGAATAGCACTGAAGAGGGAATATCCACATCCCTGGAGCATGCGAGCAATGATGTACAGTGTTTGGCTTTGTGCTAGGCTGTAGGTGTTTTTCCTTGAACAGTGCTGCTGTTCAGTGATGGCTCATAAGGGGGTCTTCCTTCTGCCTTTGAAATGCCTCTGGTGCCTCAACCCATGGCAGAGCTTATCAGCTAAAGAGGAGATGAGAACTCTTCCAGTAGAAAATGCTATTTCCCTTATCGCTGCCTCCTGACTGCATAAATAGCTGGTATGGCCGTGTTCATGAGCAGCTACTTCAGATCATCTAACTACCTGGGAGTAAAAGCACCACGTGCTGTTGTGATCAGAACCCGTACTGAGAGAGAATTTGCCTCGCTTGGTCTCAGCTTGAGGGATTTGGGGTTTTGGATGGAAGACTTCCACATTACGCATTCCTAGACTTTTGTTTCTCAAATCCAAACTATCTCCTGACAGAGCTGCAGGCAGCTTTGAATTTTAGAAATGTCTGAAGATGGAGCTGAATGTATGTAACTGAGGGTCACAACCGTGGCTGCTGGCTGGTGGCACCAATACTTGAACTAGCAGCTAAATCTAAATAGATCAGCTCCTGTTGTCCAGCTCCAAAGGCTTCTCCAGCTCTTCTCTGAGTCATGGATCCTCTGATACGCAGTCATCTGAGATCTAAGTGAACAAAGTCTGTCATGCTGGAGTTGTAAAAATGCAAGGAATGGCAGGTTTTAGGAGCTCTTTGCAGGGAAGAGGGAGGGAAAGGTTACGGGAGACTGAGATCTTCAAATATACTCAGGAACACACAAGGTTTTCACTACATTTATGTTTGACAGTCCCTTGGGATCTTCTGAAACTCCATGTCTCAAAATTTTGCTCTACGTAGTATTTGCAATACCTTTGCTTTGCCTAGCTTGGCTTTGCAGTGCTCATTAGTATATCGAGCCTTTTCTTGTCCTCATCAGGAAACCACCAGGGGCTGAAACACCACTCAATTTATGACTGAGGCTTCCCCTTGCAGTTCCTCTGTGGCAGCAGTTGGTAACCTAGCTGAAGACCTTTTTGCCTTTCCCAGGGCTTGCACCAGCTAAATAGGTGCTGGAAAATGGCATCTGTCTCCTGTCTACTCCTCCCTTCTCTCCTCAACATCTTTAAATTGTCTACTTACCAAAGAAACCAGGAGATTGTTCACTGCCCTGTTAGCTCCCCTTTCCTCTCACAACTTCTGGACCTGCAAGCTGGTTCCACCTGGCTGTTCCTCGGTGCCACAAGAGGAGATATTTCAAAATACGCTTCTCTAAATTTAGAAAAACTGGGGGCAGGAGGGAGAGCAAAGCCCCATGGCAGTGCTCTCTACCAGGAAAAACCTACTCGAGTTGGCAGGACAAAACTTGCCAGCGCAAGCTGCCCTCGCCCATCCTGGTAGCCAAGGTGGCCTGGAGATGCCAGTGATGGGAAGGACGGGGTGGTGACGGACACTGGGCTTTCCTGGTCACTTCTGCTGCTCGTCCCACTTGCCTAGCTCACCTTTGAATGGAGATCAGGAAAGTGTTGGTATGGGATGGTGCTAAGCAGGAACGTAAATATTGTGCTTCCTCCCTCAGTGTATATAGGTGAACTTTCAGCTCTGGAAACTGGTACCGGTGCACGAATTCCAGGTCTTCCCCTCTGCCATTTAACGTCAAAATTTGTCGCTCTGTTCTGCTGACTTGCCTCGCAGGTCTTAATTTTTCCTCTCCATTTTCAAGAGGGATGTTAAAAGACATAATTTTCACTGCTACTTTTATTGCCATTAGGAAGAGACTGTCACGGGAGAATGCAGATATGTTAAAGACCACTGAATTACAGCGCAGCGTTTAGATGATAAAAACCTGCCCGGCGTTATTCATGGAGTCCTAAACAGAAAACTTAGGTACTTGTAGTTCATTCCTTCTTGCCAAAGTAATATTTACTGACGTTGGATACTTCCTTGACCTGTCTGCACAATGAAATGAAGCAGAGCAAGAAAAAACACAGGGCTATATCCAGAAGACCTACTTCAGTCTCTAAAAATGCCCTTGTGACACATTCTGCAGCCCACAGTGAGTGTTCACCCTTTCTCTTGTTTTGTTCTGCTCTTAGTTTTGCTCTTGCACGTTAGCAGGGCTATATTTGGAGGCAAAATAAATTAATTTGTGGCAAACCTAGTAAGAGCTTGATCTATGAAGGCTGCACAAAGAGGGGCAAAAAGAACAGCTTGTGCCACTTTCCTGCACAGGAATGCTGCATACATCACAGGGAGCGATGCGCGTGGGTGGAATTCTTTAGCTTGTTTGTCAATGCAGAGTATTTTGAATACTGTGTCACTGAATATAGCAAAATCCTTATTTTCGCAGGCCAGATAATCCCTTGTGTTTTCATAAACAATGCGCTAATGTAGTCCCTTTTTGGCAGACAAAGAGAATAATGCAGTACTCACGGCTGTAGCCCTGCACCAGCAAGCAGTCCGTGTATACAGGAATGCAGGGCAGACAAAAAGAGGGTTGATATGAATATTTAACACTGCCTCTGACAGTAACCCGACCATACTATGCATAGTTTGTTGGGACCTGTTGTAACCTTATGGGCCTGCATCCAAGGTGACCATGAAGCTAAGGAGATCCACGTGTTTCCAGGCCTGGCGTGGAAAATATAGTTTTAATTAGCTCAGAGTAAGGTACCTTATAGTACCTCACGTTTACCACGGGGAAAGGAAGGAAGGAGAGCCAGTATGCAGATAGTTACCATGGAGCAGGTGGTATACATGAAAGCTTGTTACCTTGTGCGTGCTCTTGCCCTGAAGTAAATGAGCTTGCTCCTATTAGCAAATCTGAGTCATGTTAAATCCCTAAGGGATGGAAAAAGCTCATGGTGTATTTGGGTAAATACGTCGTGCAACTTTGCTTGCATGCAAACATCCTCTTCCCATTCTGGCTTGATTTCACTAATTGGTTAGTTGTACCACCAATGCACATTAATTGCCAGAACTACTCCTTTGGCTCATTCTTCTGCAGTATAATCCTGCTCAGTATGAGGCTCAAGGTGTTAGTACTTGCCTGTTTGGTGTTCCCTGGCCATTCTTCCCAAAGGCTATGTTTGGGCAGGCCCCTTTGCAGCATGTGCGATGGGCGGTGGGAGGTTGGGAAACCTGAGGGAAGAGCCATTTATCTTATCCCATCCTGCATTTACATGTTGTATAGATTAATTTTACAGGCGTAATCATGTGCTCGTATACTAGATGATTGTATTTGCACAGTGGCACTACTGTAAATAGCTGGCGTGGCGATCTGCGGATACGGCCCTTCATGGGCACGACAATCAAGGTCGAATCCAGGCCAAATCACCCTGGAAAAATAGGCACTGAAACCTATTGCAGGGTAAAGTTCCGCCGCACTGCGAGCAATCAGTACGGCGGTGCTGTGCTTATGCCAGCATGACCTTTCCTGCTTGATTTACAACAGGTTTAGAAGAGGGTGCCACGATGGAAGACGTGTACCTGGCATCTGTGGAGACAGACCGGGGCGTGAAGGAACAGTTACGGCTTTATGACACCAGGGGTCTGCAGGAGGGCGTCGAGCTGCCAAAGCACTACTTCTCCGTCGCTGATGGCTTCGTTCTCGTGTATGCCGTGACCAGCCTCGAAGCCTTCCAAAGAGTTGAACTGCTCAAAAAAGAGATCGATGTCTTTAGAGATAAAAAGGAGGTAAACGCGTGGTTGCCGTAACTGCGTGGCTTATTGGCGTATCAGTGATAGGAAGCAAAGTTGCAAAGTATGGATTTTGTTCCTGTAAAACTTGCATAGTAAGGAAAACAAGTGTACCTACAGCCTTGGGCGATCCAGCAAAAGGGAGCTTTCTCATGCTGGGGAAGCCTAATTCACATGCCATGCAGCTCATGAAAAAAAAAAAAAAGAAGCTTTTTTTTTTTTTTCCCCTTTCTGCTTCTACTGCAACTAAAATCCAGTTAGCTGAATGCACCCGTCAGTACACTTACGGCTAATAAAACATATGGTCTGCAGCAGTGCAGTTCTTACTTTTTTTTAGGTATTGTACACGGGAAGTCAAGTGCGCAGAATAATATCACAAAGGGCATTATCTTTGTTTGTTTTGTATTCACGTACTCGATGGCTTACAAACTGGTGTAATTGACAGCGGGTCTCCCAGACATTAGTCAATTGGCAAAACGGCTTTAATGTATCTTAACAACCATATTGAATCAATTCAATTGTGTGAAATGACTGCTCTATTTTCCCTCAGAAAGCAGCTAGTGTTTTCAGCTGACAGTGTTCCAGCTTAGCTAAACAAATATAACGTGCACGTGGCATTAGCGTTACGGCTTTTCTTACAGTATCTTTGTATTCTCTAGTAGTTTTCCCTGCTAAACGTCTTGAGCCTACAGCTCTCCAAATGTCTGTTTTATGCTGTTAAAAAAAAAAAAAAAAAGGTGCGTAAAGAATTAATCGGATAATGGTGGGGAGAGGCTTTCCAAAGCGTAACTTGTGCCGCACTCGCAGCACACGGGGTGGTGGAGGGAGGCAGGCTCCAAGTCTGACAGCAGCCAGCCGAAAATGCAGTCAGAGGAGAGGTATGTTAGGTGGTGGGGCTGGCGCGAGCTGCAGGCTGTCACGTATGTCAGGGGTACGGCAGCCAGTCGTGACTACCCCGCAGGGCGAGGAAAGGCGGACGAGCAGGAAATTTTTGCCAGGCAGTGTGCTGTGCGAGGACCCTGATTTATTGCTTTATGGCACGTTGTAACGCAGACAGGGAGTCGCAGCGCCGGCAGGATGTCTGCCCGGGGATCTGCCCAGAAGTCTTCTCTCTCGTTGCACGCAGGTGTTACAGAAAGCAGGCGGTTTGTTCGTCCCCTGGGAGAGTTTAAAAGCTGTGGTCCTGACTGGGGGTGACATAGCTGAAATAGCAGTGCCTGCTGTAGGCCGGGTAAATGTTTCATTCCTGTGATTTCTATTCCATACGAAATACTCTTTGAAGCAAGTAGAAGGTCGAATCAGGGGTCCTTAAGATAGCCCCAGCAGCCTTAAACTCTGGGCTGTGCTGGAACACAGCCTTACCCAAATTCAGGGGGCATCTCCACATACAGAAGTGCCCCTGAGCCAGCAGGACTTCGCCTTGTGAAGCAGCAGAGTCCTCTGCCATGCAGCATCTGACAGAAAGCTCTGATGGCTGCAGGGCTTCTCCAGCACACACCTTAAAGTCTGGCCAAATTTTAAACTAAACAGAGGCTGCGTTCTGTTGCACTGACAGAGCTCAACCATGGGCAAAATTCAGCTGGAATGTGTGGTAAATGTATATGAAGATTGTAGCTTCATTCAGAGGCTGTGCAAGGGGAAAAATATCTATCCATATATCACGGGCTGCTATAGAAAAGAAAGGCTGCCTCAGACTGCGCAAGAACTGGAGAAACATCTCTAGCTGGAAAGAAACAGGAGCCATGCTGTAGTCAGCCTGATGAAGAGGAAAAAGCAAGCAGGTGTGGTCTCAGCAAAGAAAAAAAATGCTCAGCAGGAGAGGACTTTATCACTTGGTCATTGCCAAACCACAACAGAGTGTAGAGAGGAGGCTGCAGCTTGACTAAGGGCCTTGAACTATAAATATAGGCACGGCTTCCCCTATCAGCTGATGCTGTTAGAACGTTTTTAGAAAGTGGTTAAGTTAAAATAAGCAGGAACCGTAACTCGAAGTGGCCAGCTCTCCGTGCAGCACTTCTCAGAAGAGAAGCAGAGGGCAAGCCACCGAGCTCAGCTCCACCACAGCATCTTGGTGATAGAGCAGCCATGGAGAACTACCTGAAGGGCTGCCCTGGTTAGGTAACCAGCAGCTCTCAAGACTGCTTCTGGCAGGCTGGCACAGGTGCTGCTCCCACCTCACTGTCCGCTTAGGTCCCTCTGGTGGCTCAGCTCACCCACAGGCAGGGGAAGCCCCCTGGGCTCAGCCCCTCAGCCCACCCTGAAGCCTTACAGACTGCTTCTGTAGGCTGCCTTGTGGCAGGGGGTGCCTTTATTCATTACACTGGCTCGGACTCAGACAAAAACAGGCTGGGCAAAATTCACAGCCCTTGGGACCCAGCTTTCTCTGCTGCCACATATTTTTTTCTTTTCTCCAGCACCCGCAGCTCTGACCTCCTCGGATGCCATGCTCTTGTCATTTCTCTAGGGCAACTCAAGTGCAAAGTAAATGGCGAACCGGGCTGTTTAACTTCTGCTCTCTTGGGTATTGTTTCCCTTTAAGTAATCTGTGTGTGTGTGGGGTAAGTCCTGCATGTCCTATGATTAAAGGCAGCTCCCAGGCTACAGGTAGATGAGGCCAGTGTGAATCCCGGACCTTACACTTCCCCATTATGTTCAGCTTACCTTGAGCCAGCAGTAAGTTAAGGGACAGGTCTGAGCTGTGTTGCTACTTGCCTGCTGTTTAAAGGCACTGCCAGTGGTGGATACTGTTTGTGTAAAGCTCGCCCTTCTGTTTGTAGGTAACAGTTATCGTCTTGGGAAACAAAACCGACCTGCTGGAGCAAAGGCAAGTGGAAACAGAAGCGGCACAGCAATGGGCAAGGGCTGAGAAAGTGAGACTGTGGGAAGTGACCGTGACAGATCGGAAAACGCTGCTTGAGCCCTTCACCTACTTAGCCAGCAAGCTCTCCCAGTCCCAGAACAAATCAACGTTCCCCTTGCCTGGAAGGAAGAGCAAAGGGAATAACTGTGATAACTAAGCTACCTTTAATGCTGTCTGCTGCTGCCAGGTGACAGCCTAAATCCTATCTCTGCCTTTAGCTGCACATGATTTCACTTAAAGCAATAATCTCATTCAGCAATAAAATCAGCAAGCTTATGGCTGAGAGGTATCCTTGAAAAAGTCACTGATGGCAAAAGCCTTGAAAAGCACTTAGTGCTAAGAGTCACCTTCCAACAAGGGCGAGCAGGGGGGAGCAGGGAGGGCAAGAGAGGCAGGTGGTCACCCCTTCAGCAGGGGCTTTGACTGTCCCTTGATACGGCCATGGTGAGGAACACTCCTCCTGCAGATCCGTAGCCTCTTGTCACAAGTAGTACTAGCTGCAACGAAGCTTTAAATTTGGAGAGAGGGTATATTTGACACGGCAACAGGCCTTTTACCTTGACCTTAAACAGGAAGCACCCTGGCTACAGAGGTTTTTGATGCTGCAGGAGGCTCAGGTCAGGGTGTTGTTGCAGGAGTGCTAGGGCAACAGGAAGAAATACCAGCAAATTTAGCTGCTGAAGCCCTGGCAGTGTCTGAAAAATAAACAAGAAAGAAAGAAAAAAAAAAGTAAAAAGAAATCTTGCAGGAGATCCTAGAACAGATCAACCCTAACGTGAAGCCTGTCAGTGAAGTCTGGCAAGTAGCTTCAGGAATTTATTTGTACAAACCAGAAAAGCTCTCACAGCACTCATTAATTTAACTACGACCTGAAGGACAGCATAGCTGTAACGTGGTTTTGTCCTAGCATGTCCAGTGCAAATCAGTCACATTCACACAGGTGATAATTTTACTCAGAAATTATATGGAACAACTCTGTAAGCAGGAGGTACCTCACCGGGCTCTGCGTGGCGGGTTGTGCAATATTCCTGCCCAGCCGCAGCAACCCACAAAGCCAGGACAAAGCTACAGGTGAGAGAACAGCTGGTACGAAGCACTGCACTGCTTTGTGAGAAGGGGCTACCTACAAAAGCTTTACGTGCTGCATTCGGAGCTCTGCGTAGGTAAACTTGTGCTGCAGAGATCTGCCATCCTAGCTCAGTCTGTCTGCACACTATGCAAAATTGACCGTAAAGGGGCAGAGCGACTGTTCCCAGAAAGGGACCAGCTTTTGGCCTCTAACCACTTTAATACACTGAGACCAGCTTTTCTTTGTATTAGAGGGCAAGGGAGTGAACCGAAGTACTCAGTTCCCTAATTTTCCACAAAATTAATGTTGTTTTGAACGAATATCGAGAATTTCATTGTGAATCAGCAAAACCACAAGCAACATTTGCATTGTCATATCATAGCTGCTAAACAGCAAGTGTGCTTAATGATCAAAATTAGGCCATGTGCTTACAGCACTGCTCTTCCTGAATACTAGCAAATAAACTGCCAGCATTACTATGTCAGAGCAACTGTCCAATCCACTAAAAATTAAGCAAGTATTCCTCCATTTATAATGAAGGCAGACGAAACTGTTTATGTGCTTTGCTCAATGTAGTTTGGATTGCTGTGGCCATCAAGCCAGATAAGAGAGCAATTACAAATGAGCAAGCAGCTGTAATGCCCTGCTGGAAACATACAATTGTTCCCATTGCAACACAGCAGCTGAGTAAGCACTGTAGCACGACCTCCCCCAACCTGGCTAGTAATAGTCATTGTCCCCAGCGATGCTGCAGAACAACACTCCCTTCTCACTCATTTCCTACCAAACACACGTGTACTCGAGGCTTCTCCCCACCCAGAGGACTCCTCAACCTGCCTGCGTGCTTGGGAAGTGGGCTGGCTTCAGAGCAGCAGCGGCTCAGCTGTTTGCTGCAACCTTTCACCGAGGAATTGGCGCCGTTCCTCCCGTTCAGCTCCACAGAACCCTTCTTCGAGAGGGGACCTGATTCAGCTGCACAGCAAACCAAACACCAGAGACCTCTGCTAGCTGCACGTTGTCACCGGGGCTGGCCGTTGAGCCAAGGGAGTGTTGACAAGCAAAGCCAGTCAGAATTAACCTACGACGTGTGGGGATGGAAGGCACGGAGACGACTGACTGGTTCCTGCCCAATTCTGCACCCCGCAGACTCGCTGCCAGTGCCGCTGCTGAGACCGATGTCACCGCAGGCTGCTGGGGCCATGCCACGTGAGATCAGCTTGCTCTCTCCCCCCCCGGACAACTCAGGACTTGACAACGTTTCAAGAAAGGCAAAAGGAAAAGGGATCTTCTGAGTGACTAAGACTGTGTTTCCAAACGGGTTATGTAAAGTCAGACATGTTATCTTTGATTTGGTTAAACTCATTTCTAGATTATTTTGGACATCCACATAAACAACCACCACCCATCGTTTTATTTCACGGGCTTACTCCGATGCTTTTTAAGCACTCACTCAAATTAATTGCCTGCTCTAAATACCATGCCATACCTGTGATGGAAATGGTCGTTTCCCCTCTGCAAACCATCTGCACGCAGTGGCTGGTACTGAGTCAAAATGAAACTCATTGTAGTGCAGTTTTACCTAATGTCATTAAGTAAAATACAACCGTACAGAGTATGCAGTAGTAGTGCATGGGCAGCATGTGTATTTTGCTCTTTGTTGTTCCACTGACTGAATGCGTCCTAAGTCACTGGGGTCATTTACCTGCTGTAAAGCTAGGCTGTCCCTTCACAAGATGATAGAGAAAAATTATTATAAAAAGAAAAATAAATAAATCAGTAAACTGAATCTCCTTTCTCTGTTTCTCTTACACTTTTGTCCTGCTGAACACACAGTGCTCTGACCAGTCAACCCCAAATCAGCTCTGACTCCCCTGCCAGCTTCAAGAACTAATTTGGCAAGCACTGGTAGCACAAAGCAAGGAGCAGACAAAAACCTACTGAGATGGGGCCACTTACTCTTAAATTCATTTCCTTCTCCCCTCTACTGTGTGAGGATGTAAGTCCCTTCCCAGAGATACTCCTGGTGTGATGTACCAGGAGTACATCACTACACACCACCGACTTTCCTAGGCTGTGCCAGACAGCTGAGGGAGCTCATACACCAAAGCAGGGCTGTGACAACCGAAGGCTGTCCAGCAGCTGAGGTTAACATACCAGTACCCACAACCACCTGACCAAGGAAGGGGATCTGTACTTAAATCACCTGGGAGCAAACTAGATCTGATCTCTTCTATAGGTAGGAAGAGAAGCATATAAAGCAAATATACACACAGTTTGAAGTACAAACATATATCTGAGAGAACAGCCGGACACATAGCACTTGGAAGAATGTCGCAACGTGAAGTACTTGCCATGTGAAAATGAATCTGTGCTTCCGGCCTTTACCTTAAGGGAGCGGTCAAAAATGCCGTATTCACAACTAACTACCCTATTGCCACACGCTTCAGTGTAAACACTATGTCTCTAGGAGATAATCTTTGTAGCTAGTTAAAGGATCTACACATTATGCTTCCTTTTTAAGGAAGGTGTCTTCTGCTGGCTTCCCCGGACACTATTCTTTCTCCTCTTTCTTGTGGGAATTGACCACTCCATTACAAAACCATGAAGACATTCTCTTCTTCCTCTTACCTCCTGCTCATTTCCCTTCCAAATCTCTTACACTCTTGCAGCCGTACTTCCAAATAATACACCACTCCTGAAAAGCCAACGCTGTGAAAACCGGAGCTAAAAAGTAACTAGCATGGATTCTGCAGCAGGTCACCTCTTCATGGGCCGTGCCAGGCTCAATAACACCTACACAGTCAGCAGATGAAAGAGTTGTCACTCATCGTATACTTGTCCAGAAGTGTCTTCCCAAAACAGAGGCAGGCAGTGCTCGCACCTGCTCAGCTCCCTTGTTTTCATCCAGACTGTAATCCTTGAAGCGTACCGGGAGAGACTGTTCTGGCAAAGTGATAAACCAAGGTACTAAGCAGAAGTCTCTTCTTCTTACCTTTTTTTTTGTTTTTAAACATCTTTTTATTAGCACAGTAACAAATGCAGACTTAAGTAGCCCACAACATACAACCAATCCACTGAGTGACTCCTATTCCACGCCTTACAGTTAGACAGCTTAAGGTATTTCACTACAGGTTGCCGTAAGTCCTGATTAAAACCTTTATTCTTTTCACAAAGATAGATTGGCTTATAAAATAATACATTAACTACTTCTCATTTCATATATGAGGCTATATATCCACCTCTCCGTATCACAGATCATGAGATGACAGTCTTTAAAAAGGATTTGTTAAATACCGATGTGCCCTCCATAGGGGAAAACAATCCTGACATCTTTTTACAAAAACAAAACAAAACAAACAAAACCCCAACCCAACCCAGAACAAAATAAACCCCCCAAACCAAAAACAAAACAAAAAGCAAAAACAGTGTGTAGAGTCTTGAAAGGACTTTTACATAAACGCCAACATATGTACCTGTACAAAATTAAGCTGTTTTAATCTTTTGCATATTGCAAGCAAACTGAAAACCAAAGATGCCTAAGAAGTTTACATTCTTCTCGGTACTATATGTGAGCTAATATTGCTGAACTAATTACAGTCTTAAAATACACTATTCCCAACTCTAGCTGTCTACTGTAGCAAGATACCTTAAGTTACAACAACAAAATCTTAGGAAATAAAAGACTGAATAAAATCTGTTATAGAAATACCCTACTCTTTACCAGCACCCTCCCTCCCCCCACCCCTTCAAAATCATAAGCAGCTCTTTCCATCACAGACAAATAATGTAAGTTTGACAAAAATCCCATTTATGTAGCGTATCTTTTGGTCCATTGTCTGGCCATTCTGTCATGCTCTGCTCTGTTAGTCATATACTGGGTGGCAATACTTCCAACCAGGGGGTCAGCTGAAAAGAAAAAAAAAAAAAGGAACTTATTTCAGACAAGTAAAGTATAAATTTAATACAAGGGAATCACTCAAGTAGACTACATTACAATAATCTAAATATACTGAACTGTTGGTCTGTATCTTCATCAATTTATGTTTATTTATGGTGACATATCGATCTATTACTTAGTAAAGTAGGAAATGCCAATTAAAGTTTTAAAGAGTTTAAAAGACAACCATCTAATAGTTATTTTGCATTACTGAAATCTTTCACTGATCTATATATTTCAGGTTTATTTTACCTTTTCTAAAAGTGCCCGGGAGATAGTCATTGCTAACTGCTCTTGTATCAATACAAATCTTGCTTCTAGGCAAGATCAGATCACAGGGAGAGGTTTTATTTTTTCCAAAGAGATTATTTTTATTATACATAATATAGCATGAACTCTGGTGCTTTACTCATCTTTTATAGACGTAAATAGAAATATAACCCCTAGAATTGACTTTGTAAGGCACGGCATATCTCTTTTAACTGCTGTAGATAACGGGTGGGGTTAGAGAAGCCGAGGACTACCTTTGGCATTGCTGGTTGCTGGTTTTAAATAGATGCTAGCAAGTAAAAGGCTAACCTACTGGTTTTCAGACCTGTGCTTGTGACTTTTACAGCTGTTACCAAATTACTGCACTTCTACAGAGCAGCAAAGCGTCCTTAACCCTTACCCAAAACCAGAGGTGGTTTAGCAGGGGAAGGAGCTGTCGCCTCCAGGAGGAGAGCCAGCGACCACCTGCAGCCCCTCTCCTCACTACCCGGGCAGAAGCCACCAAGGCACGATGAGGGACGAGTTACTTTGATGGAGGGCGGGCTGCAAGGCAGCACGTGGGGCTTACCCGGGTTGCAGTCTGTGAGGAGGGAGCAGATGGAGAGGAGGACTTTAGAAATGGTTAATGCTGGGCTCCAGTTGTCTTTTAAAATGTCCAGGCAGATGACGCCTTGGCTGTTGATGTTACAGTGATAGATCCTTGTCCGGAACGTTACCTGCAAGAAACGGCCATTAGACGGAGTGCTAGCGTGACCTGCCGCCACGCATGATGTGGCAAGTAAGCGACACCGGCCGTAATTCTCATTTGACAGCCAGCAAAAACTGATGTGGAGAGGAAAAATCAAATAAAAAACCCAACAACAGCGCCCGGCCGCCGAGCACAGGCCTTGCCCCCAGCGGGCCGGGCCGGGTCCCCGTGCCGCCGGCGCCCTCTGGCGGCCATGGGCGAGATCACAGCCGGGGTCGGGCCTAACCCGAGGAGGGCACCGGCCCTGCTCCTCTCTTCCCTGTCCTCGTCCCTTCCCGAGTGGCCTCTGCTGCCTCTGCTCCCCTCACAGCTTTCCCTGACGAGTTCTGGATTTCAGTTTCCTTCCCTCTGAGTGACTTGCCGGGGCCCTCAGGACACACGGGGCTGTCTCGGCATGTCTGAGCAAAGACTCAGAAACGATAACACATCTACAACGCCCCTGCAAAGCAATGACCACGATCCCTACCTCGTGTGCTTTCAGGTCACTGTGAAACCCAGCTTTTATTTTCCCCTTTAGTTATTACTAGCTTTTATCTTTCTGCTCACAGCAGTAGAGGGCCCTGGTGCTTTAACACCAACAAATTTCTCCCTGTGGGCTCCCAAACACTTGTAAAAACCTCCAGTTAGGGCAGGGTGCTGTGGAGCCACGGCTCCTCTCGCTTCTCAGAGCTCGCCCCGTTCAGCCCCGTCATTTGGGTTTTATTATTTTCAAATATGGGAGACGTGAATGAAGCGGGCAGCGTGCCACAGAAGTTATCCGAAAGGGAAACAAAAGCACCGCACGACATTGCAGGGGAACACAATGCGACCTGCAGAAAGGCCTCATTCCGACTCGCTGGATGAACACCGACAACAAATTTGGTGGCACTTGCATGAATCAGGATTATCTGCGTGAATAAAGGTTGTCGGGTTCATGCCCTAAATCCTCAGAATTTGTCAGCTATCCACACCCACAAATTTTACTGTCTGTTTATAGGTCACAAGGGTATTTGCGAAACACATTTGGTAAGTGTGTGGTACAACAAGAACACCACACTGGTACTTTCCCTGGAGATTAGACCGGCCCACACATAAAAGTTGCCAGTCAACCCTCTTTTTATTTTTTATTCTACAGTCTTTCTGATGCAAAAATTTGGCTCGTGACCCTCTTTCTCCCAGGCTCCGGGGGCAGGCGTGGGCTGGGGTTACACAGCTACAACACTCCAGTGCCCCTCTTTTTGTCCTGCATCTGTGCGCCGTTTGCAGGCACGCTCCTGACGCACGGAGCGCTCCAGCTATTTTTGGTCTCAGACTCGCAACTGCAGTTACTTGTCACACAGGAGACACCCACACTGCACACTTCGGGAGACTTTCTGCTTTGCTCCTTGCAAGTTGCTTGGATTTTAGATTAAAGCAGGGAAGAAAAAAAAAAAAAGAACTACACACACACACATACAAACTCCCAAATCCCCACACTTTTGCACATTATGGGTGGGAATAGCAAAATTTCTGTAAGAGAGCAAAGACATGTTTGCCTCCCACACCTTCTGCAACAAGCTGCAGCTCCAAACCCAAGAAGCCCTGCTGCTGTCTATACAGGGGACCTCCAAGGCAGGTGAGATGCCAAAGCAATGTTTGTTTCTGGGATCATCTAATCCTTGTTGGAAGAGCAGCAATGACTCCCTACAGTTGTGTAGAAGTCAATACACATCAGCTCAAACAGAGGGCAGATGTGTCTCTGTGACACCTGCCCTTTACTTTAAGGCAAAAGTGAAGTTTGTGGCATCTGCAGTTGCTGGCAACGGCTCTGCCTTTATTTCCCATCTCTCAGCCCAGCCCACTACTTGCTCGCTATTTGATCTGCAGCTTTGGTCCCCTTCCAAGAAGGCTTCTAAATGTAGGTGAGGTAATAATTTTAACAGATTAAACACTTCCAGGACGGGAAGCATGGAGTATTTCCAAGTCGATACAATAAGGACCAAATTAACAGGGAGGTCAAGCGTTCTACTTCGTAAAGACAGAAAGTTGTTAATCCTGATTCTGAGCACAAAAGCCAAATATTCGATATTGCAGAAGGCTCTCTCTTTAGACAGGCTCTCACTCCAGTTAACTAAAAACTGATATGTATTAAAAAAATTACAAATCACATTTGCCTCTAGGAATTAGACTTGCTTTTAAAATTTATTTTGTTAGTAGTTGGGAAGGAGAAGAAAGAGAGAAAGAAAGAAAACTCCCACATATTTGCAGAACAGCCTGATTCCTAAAGGAACCATAAGATACAATTCTTAAGGATTATACTCATGGCACCAAAATTGGTTTTCTCCAGATCTCTCCTGTGAGCTGTGCCTAACCAAAGCACTGTGGGAAAAATTGAAATTTGTTTTCACTTAAGCAGCAAGTCAGAACTGGGATGGTGTTAGACACATGTAGTCCAGCTGTTTGCCATTTGCAATTTTTGCTGATGGTACAAAAGCCAGCCATGCAGGGAACCCAAGTGGAGCCAGAAGAGGGGGGAGGAATTGCAGACCTGCTTAAAAATGAAACAAAATAACGCTTAAAGTAAATGTTAATTACACCTTAAAGAGGAAAAAAGAAAAAAGAAAAAACCCACTACCACAAACAATAACAGAAAAACCTCATGTAACTAGCAGATTCAGATCAAAACTGGGAGAAACTGAGTTACTTAGAAGGTACTGTAATGTATTCAGGGTCAAGAGAGCAGCATGTGGAAGAGCACAAAAACACAGAGTAACGGAACAATCTTTTGGAAATGTCCCACCTGAGATTACATTAATGCAGTAACTACAGAATTAAGCTCAGTATTTGAAAAGACAAAGAAGCCAATCTCAACCTTACCCTGAAGAGATAGCAGAGGTTAATTTACACAAGCGGTAAAATGGGGGTGGGGGGAAGGAAGTGGTTAGAGGTTATTAATACAAATGATCAAAGCGCACACCAGGTCAACACAAGCTACTGTTTTCACCTCAATAAATAAAATCTAACCAAACTATAATGCAACTCTTGGGAAAACATGCAGTATAATAGTACAAAAGAATAGCAGTCAGCTTGAGGACTAGATACTGAACTCTTAAATTCTAATTATTTTTGTTTATTGGATTCTCCCGAAGCCAGGCCCACCCAGCATGTGCCCAACTCAATTGCTATCTGAAACATAAAGGCAAAACCAGAATACCACATAAAATGCAAAAAACATGAAAGCAGAGAAGAGATTAACGCTAACATCTTCAAAGTGTTGTATGGAATGCTTAATAAATGTAAACGAACTCCATTATACACTGTTAGGACAAGGGAGAGAATATTCGTCCTTGTCTCAGGACTTCTCCCACTGAAGTTCCTTCTGCTGTACAATGCATTTCCAAGTCAAATTTTAAGACCTTTAATTTCTCCAGCCTCAAGTACAGTAGTGCAGTTCTCTTTATCCTTCCCAGAATGTGTCTCTATCACTTCTGGCATGGGCTCTCTGTCTTTCCTGTGGCAGCATCCTTCCCCAGAAGTTTGCCCCAACAGATTCTCTAGCATACTGAATCAAAACCTCAGTTTGAGCTGTACTCAGCCCACGAAGGCTGCACCTGCATACCCTTCAACACACATCTCTAGGATGCTTGTCAAGCACGTGACGTTTGTCAATACCGGCTATGCCTCAGGACCTTCTCTTACTCCTATTCCTATGGGACTGGCAGCTTGTCAGGATGACCAGTTTCTTCTTACTTTTTTTATAAAAGGTAAATCCTTTGCTGAGACTTCATTTTCAAGTTATAAAATGCATTCTGCTGTGGGCTGCCCACAGAAGGGACTGTCCTGAGAATTACAGAGCACTCAGTGAGGCAGTAGAGGTTTTCTTCCACCTCTCTTTCAAGGCTTACTGAGGAAGGAAGATTCAAAGTGAACTAGTCCTTTCACTCTAGATGACCTCTGAAAAGATGAAGCTGTCTTTTGAAGCAGCCTTTGACAATTTTACTACTCTACTAGTGTTCTGTCATCAAAATGATATACTGCGTTTTGTTTCAACTATTTCTTCACCTCTCGTCCTAAAAGACAAAAATATAGGAAGGCTGTGGTAATCACCTTAGTCCTACCACTTCCAAATGACCTACAAGCAGTATTTATCAATTACAGCAATCAGCTGGGCAACGTGAAATCAACAAATTAGTAGGAAGGATGCAGGAGCAGTATGATGATTATATTTTCCACATCATCATCAACACCCATGCTAACACAGGAGACGCTGTAAGAATCCAGTAAAGTTTTTTTCTTTAAATTTGAAATACTCAAGTAGCACAAGTACATTCTTAGACTACTGCTATGCTTTCTGCTACATCACATCTCAACGTGGCTGAAGCGACGTGTATTTTATTTGCATACATACATGTGGTTTGTAAACCAGTTTGGACCCTGATAGATGAAAGACTCCATTTAAATGCAACTCTGCTACAATATAATGAATCTCCATTAAACTAGTCTTTTAAGGACTCAATAAGCAACACCTTTTTTTTGTTGTTGTTTCGTTTTGTTTTAATCCCACAAAAAAAAAAAGGTATTTATTTATTTATTTTGTTTTGTTTTTAATCTTTAATAAAGACAAAGAAATCCCCATCAGAGGCTCAGAGCAGAAAGCAGGGCTGAGCTGGGATGACAAAACTGTAACTTCAGTTTTGCGTCAGAGAACTTCACACTTAGGGCTTTCTCAATACTATTGGTAGTTACTGTAAGGTCTGTTAAAGCATCAGGCTTTTGACTTGTAGTGCAGGAAGCAAAGATATTGCAAAGCGTACATGGGAAGGTAGAAGCTCCCTCTTCAAATGCTTACTGGGCTCATGACACGAGATACTGCACATAGGCACCTGGACTAAATTATACAATACAAACCAATTAAAACTAAAATAGTAAAAAAATTATTCTGAACTGAGTTCAACTTTAACACAAGACACAAGAGAAGTATCTGTGCTGTCAAAGAGTCTCCAAAGAAGGACGGACAGGTGTCCAGAAGAAAAATCACTAGTCCCAAGGTAGACCACGCTGTTTGTGAATCAAAGTCTTAACTTAGGGGTGGGATTTAAGGTCCTGTTGATACTACTAGAAACTCTGTAGTTACGCCACCAAGAACAGACAAACATTTTGTTCCCTTCATTTGGGAAGCTTGCGTTAATTTTGCCTGTATGACCAAACAGCACAGTCTCCACTGAGATGGACTGATGGCCTGAAGTATGACAGCAAGTCCTTCCTACTGCGCAACAGACTGAAGTCTTTGAAGATGGGGCAGTCATTGGTGTTTACCTTTTCGCTGCAACTACTTTTAAGTAGAAAGTTAAACATGCACATAAATGCTTTCAGATACGAGGCAAACACGAAGTGTATATACAACCACCTCTTCTTGTAATCCAACACTCTTCCTCTGGCCAAGTATGCGAACCACAAGATAACATTCACTTGCACTGGTATTTGCCTTGTGGCATTAGAACACAACAGTGCTGGCACCTAAGAGCTTCACAAATATAACACACCTACAGCAAAAGTTTGTTACTGTACAAGTAAGTGAGCAACGCAAGCACCCAACAAAATGAAAAAAGTCAAATACTACTTTAGCGGCCAAAACACACAAACCCATAATGCCAATGGTAACTCAGTGCTTTGAGAAACAAGTATTTGTATTCTTTTCCCTCTCCCCAAGTTTATTTACTTTTCAGTTCCTCAGGCCTGTCCTGATACTGATGCTAATTGCTTAGGATCTCTTATAAACAGAAACAGGGAAAAAGAAAACAAGGTCTAAAGTAGCGACCAAGTGGATCGGAAAAGCCATTAACATTAGCTAACAGAAACCAGTGTAATATCTGAAGTGAGCTTAAGTTTGGTCTTAAAGAAGACTGGCTTTCAATTGGGCTGCATGCCATTAACGCTGCCTGTTACTGGACGGTTTGTTGAGCATACATAACATAAGATATCAATTACAGGTCTCTTACCTTTGGAGGCTTGAAAGGATATTCTGGTGTAAAGGTGATATCAAGGAAGAAAACCCCTCCCTCGTAGACAGAGCCTGGAGGTCCTAGGATGGTTGATCTCCATTCATAGATGTTATCACCTTTGGGGCCAGCGCTAAGAAATAAAACAAAAAACAAAACAAAACACAGATGTTTTAAGAATATTACCACTGTTCAAATAAATATGACCTCTTGCACTCACAAAGTATGATATGGAAAAATGTTTTCAATGCCACACTTCATACACCACCTGGAGTAAAGATAGTGATTAAAAGTAGATTGAATGCTTCCAGAACCTCAGAAATCTTATCTGGACTCATCAGTGTTTCAGGCTTCTTAGCAAAGCTCAGAAATTAGAGGTGGGGTTTTTCATCTTCTCTCGCTTGACATTTATAAACCAGCACTGCCCAGAACTCCCCCTGAAAAAGCTACACAGTCTCAATGCAACAGAAAACCTTAGTTTCAAAGAACAAATTCCAGTGTATTTCAGAAATGACTGCTCCAGCTCAGCCTTGATAAAACTGCACCACATCAAAGACCATACCAAATAAATGAAGGACTTATGTTGATTCTATAAAACATGTGTGTTCTTCAAGATTAAAATATCTTCCTGTATTATTCCGAAACCATGGCTCACTGTATAATTATTGAAGCCAAATATATGATGATACTCTTACATGTCAGAATTTTCTACACTTGTATCATTTTGCTACACTGACTTCTAAAACGAAACCACCTGAACTCATCCCCTTCAACACTGCATTACATCCCTCCTTTTCTGAGGGGGCATTAAAATCACCACGTCAAATTGAAACACTGCTTTCCCAAATCAGTTTTATCTAATTCTAGGTTCTCCCTAACCTATCAGCGGCTCACAAAGAGCAGTACAAAAGGTGTTGCAGAACATGAATGTCTGCGTGTTGAAAAATTAGTTTTACTGAAGTCCTCAGACACCTGTATTCTGTAGCGTGCCATATGTCGCTGAGTATTTCTAAGTACAGCTCAACCTATAAAGCCATTAATGGTTTAGGACTCCATTGCTACCTCTTTCTTCCTGTGCTGCTGTGGTAGTATTTTATGTTAGATGCTAGAGCTGAAAACTCCCTTTGCATAAAGGGAGGTGCTGACACAGCTTTTTCCATCGTGGATGCACTATGACTTCAGAAATCTCTCCTCTCCTTTTTCTGTAAGGGCACGGATTTTACATCCCTAGTACAACAAAATCAGCCTTGCTTTTCTCTCCTTGTTCTTTTAACAAGGCTAATAAAAGACAGAATGATTAAAAAAAAAAAAAGGCTTTTTTCATATCTTAACAATCATGGAGCAACACTGCTTAAGAAGGAAGGCAATCCAATAAATTGAATATATACACGATGATATGCATTTGATTAATGTGAAAGGAACCAGAGTAATTGCTAGGTGCTAGTAGCAGTGTTACAAATAGACATATGATTACAAAAACAAATTCTCAACATAACAACCGGGATCAGAGAGATGCTTTTTTTCTCGCTTTTTGCAGAACTGGTGAACATGTTCTTGACAGATCAGGGGAGAGAAAGGAAGTTAGTTCTATTATCAAACCTCTACAATTTTATTTCCAGATTAAACAAATAAAAAGTTAACAGCATTTTGATGCTAATTGCTTCAACAATAATGAATTTATGACTGAAAGTGTGCTTCCAGTAGAGGGAAAGCACATAAGGAATGCAGTAAAGGTAGACGGGATCTCTGCAAAGTGATGTGCCATCCACTGGGGAAAGATTTCTCTCACTGGAGCGCAAAACCTCGCACAGCTCAAGATCCGTACTAAATTAAAGTAAAAGCCATTCCATCCTGAACACTCCTGGCATCCTGCTCCACCTTAACGACTTGTCCCCGTCCTGTGCAGGTCTATATATTTGGGCGCTCAGTGCTCTCCAGCTACCACTTGTGCAATAGGCTGGAATAGCACCATTTTCCAACAGGAAGCTCTACCTCTTGAAAGACACCAGCTTAACTGTGAAAACTTACTGAAAAGGACTCCCTGGGGCACCCTTAGCCTCCACTCCGAGGAATCACCTCTTTATGCATGTATTAGCAACCTGCTGACATGCTGTCATTGCTCCAAGTTGCACCAGCGATCATCCTCCCCTCCCTCCCTAAAGATGGAGCTACTGAACCGAGCAGGTACTTGAGCTTTGTTAGCACCAATTTGCTGCTGGAATTTATATCACAAAAGCTGCCAACTGGGAGCACTTCAGCATTCAAGAAATGTGATGTGTGATTAGCACTGAATACAGCCCTCTGAACCAATAAAAAATATTTCAACAGTTTTTGCGTTTTATTCCCAGCTTCAACCCAAAGGACTGTCAATAAAAGAAATCCCACAGATGTAAAAAAAAAAAATTATATATTATTATTTATAATAGTCTTAGAAATCTCTTCTATCCTATTAGGTTTCCAATTAGAGCTATCACTGCATGCAAGTAATATACTGCTAGACCTCCCTATTAAAAGAGAGCAACATCTTTGTAAGACATCAGTAGGCTTTAACAGTGATGTACTAAGCTTACCTTTTAAGCTTTTCATAATTCAATTAACACAGTGAAATAGCTGTAGATGTCCAATTTTTCCTTTAACATTGATTTCTTATAAAGGAAAGACTGAAAGAGGAAGATGCAAGTCAGCTTCCGAGTGCGCTATTGCTTGAGTTTAAATTGGGATTAGGTAATATCAAGCAGCTCAAGACGACCTAGTCTTAATAGAAATGCGATGAGACTGAACTATAGCCTAAGTGCAGCGGCATTAACTTTTTGTGGAGATATAAAAACTGTCAAAGGTTAAAGATTACATCCTTTGTTTAAAATCCTTGCAATTATCTGCTTCAAAAAGAAATCCACTGATGCATAGATACAGCGCTCGCAGACACAGCTGCCACGTTCCCTGATGTGTGTTACTGTTGTTCAAATTAAGTGTCTAGATCTGCTAATGCAACATTTTGAAGCTGTCCAATGCATGACCACTGGGAAGATAATTTTAACCAATTACATAGAAATTGTTTCCATTGCAAGACAAGAGCATGAAAGCAACAGCTCTCTGTATTGAACTCAACAGCCCACAACCTCTTCACTTTCAAGGAAAGAAATGAAAGAAATGAAGTCTGGTAATGCAGACCAAATAATGGCATGCAAAAGAAAACTTGGAAAAAAAAAAAAAAAGACAATGCCACCAACCCATCATTATATTATCTTGTGGCATGTGTTACAGAGTGCAGGTGGACATCTGTCTTTCCCGGAAAAACAGTGGTACACACGGTGAAGTGGCACTGTACTCTCTGTTTCTCATCATTCCCAAGTTGCTGCTAGCTTGTCCTCTGGTGATGTTACAACATTAACGCCCATAAGAAACCAGCCAGTGCAAAGGTAGCGTTTGGTCAAGGACCAACTTTCCAAGTCCAGAAGCAGCAGTCTAACTAAGCACTGCCTGTCAACACAAGGCAGAGAGAAACTCTAGGCACACACGAGACCAAATCCAAAGTCCTGCCTGGGCAAAGTCCCAACATACCTCGTGTCACTTCGGAAAAACCTCATCGTGCTCTGCCTCCCTTTGCTGGCAGGTGCCATGCCCTCTCTCCATGTAAAAACCAAGCAGGTAAATTAGAAATGCCTGCAGCAGAGGCTAGGAAGCAGAAGACAGCTAAGGCGGCTCTATACTTGGATGCCTTGTGATAGAGAGGGAGAACAGCAATTTTAAACAGAGGACTCTGCCTCAGAGATTCAGCATCCAAGAAGACACACATATCTACTTTTCATGTATTGAAAGGGCTGAAGTGACAGATAGGGTAGTCTGCAAGAACAGCCAGCCTCTGATTTTTTTTTTTGTGTTAAGTAGGTCTTGTAAAAATTCCACCTCTAGCCCTCGTTACAGGATATTTTGTGCACACAAGCTTACCTCCTCTGTGCAGGCATCCTGGGCAACCACCCCAAGCATGCCTATGGCACTGGAGGGAAAGCAGGATTTTCTGGTGCTCACCACATATTGCTAATGTATGAAAATCCCTGGGAACACACTGCTGACATTCTCCTGGAAAGTCCCAGGAAGAAGTGACTCAGAAAGAGCCTACTGTTTACATCAATTTTTGGAAACTACCTAGTCCTTTCTAGGAGCTCACCAAACGATAATATAACCTTTTCCTCTAGCAAAAATGTACTCCAGTGAATACTCCAGTTCCTCTTCCTTGAAACACAGAAGGCACGCAATAGCAGATCACTGTAGTGATAGCATCAGGCTGTGAATCAAAATCAAGCAATGCTACAGACACACTAGGCTAATACCCCAATATACCAAAGAAGGGTATGCTCCTTGTCTAAGGAAACTAATTTAACCAAGTAATTTTAAATGCCAGGGATGGCCTTTCATCAGGATGATGAGAAGTGCAATTTCATGGCATGCTGAGGTAAATACCAGCTAATGAAAAACTACATGTTTCAGTTAAAACCACAAGCAACAGACCCATGAACTCATGCTCCAACTACTCTGTATCCCTAGGTTCTATTTTTGAGGTTATTTTGCCCTGAACAGGAAGAGTCTGATGCAAGTAACTAAGCTGTTTTGAAGTTGCACACTTGTGGAAAATAAATATAATTTCCAAAAACCCTGTCAGCATGACCTTTTCCAATGGACTTAGCTCAAATGAGAAAACAAAAAATATACTAACAGCACATAGGGCAGATCCCCAACATAAAGCTGCTCCAGCACTAACCAAAAGCAACATTTGATTTGGTTTTGGCTGTTTTATTTTGTAGCTAAGCAGCTGCAAATAACTGAACATGGAAGTGCATCTCAATGGTCACAGGTTCATCACCTTACTGGACAGCTTTAGGAAATATCTCGTTGACTATTGGAAGGTCTTTTTCTTTTTTCCCTTCTCCTTGAAGATGCAAGCCCAAAATGTATTAAAGATTTTGGCTAGGTTGCTTATGGGAAGGAAGCATGACATTCTTACATGAAGTTCTGGTGCTTTTTCCTCCTAATCCACCACATTCCTACCCTCACTGGAAAATTGCCCTTCCTGGAAGTCCACCACAAGGGTCCATGCTGGGATTGCTAATCTACATTGCTATGTGAAAACTGGTG